AAACCGGGTCAGCTCGGGTACCCGGGCTGGCTCGCCCCATATAGACGAGAGAGTTTGGCAAAGTATCTTAATTGATCATTTTGAATTTTCTTTACGATGCAATGGAACTAAAATAGTTGCATAAACACTTGAATCAGAGTAACATAATAGAGTTCTTACTAATAACAGATGCGTGGTTTTATTGCATTAACTATATTGCTATTTATTATGTTGGTATCGTTCATAAATTAATGTTATAGAGTATTTATTTCCATAGTGTACAAAAAAAAACTATGTATTGTATATTCAATATGTTCTGTTTGGAAATAGAAAATAAATGCAAGTAAGCACATAGGGGTGAGCTGAATTGCAAACGAGTTGAAGGCTTTCTAAGGGCGCCTCTGGCACTCACACTCAATGAGTGGAAGTTCAATTTGAGCTTCTCTCGAGTGTCATTGCTGTTTTTGAACAGCTGGAGGGTTAGTGTCGTACCTTACTATGTGACCACTCTCCCTCCAGCTATTCAAAAACAGCACTGACACTCAAGAGAAGCTCTGATTGAACCTCCACTCATTGAGTGTGAGTGAGCTTTTAGAATATGGGCGTATGACTCATGTCTGATCACTGAGCACGTCTACGGAGGAAGAGTCAGCAGGACGATAGCACAGAGTACTTACATACAGAGGTCTCACTTCAGGTTAATTTAACCCAAGGGATTTTTCCAGTCCGCAATGTTCTTACCAAGTGCCCTAAATAGAGGCCGTCACCCCCCTGAAAACATATTTGAATTTAATGTTAGGGGGGGGGGGGGTGAATGCCTCTCTTTAGGGCACTTGCTAAATTTACTACCTTACGATCGATTCTGGGAAAATATGCAGGATTTTTTCACCATGAGGATGATAATACCATTCAAAGCCATATCAGTTCGATATATACCCATGCCCATGGCTGTCTTGTACATTCTGGTTCACGAGATATTATAAGCGCCATTTAGCAAGTCATACGGCCCTGAGGGTCAGTTAGGTTAGGGGCTATATAATCCCGACCCACCCTGTCAACATTCGCTGTGGGAGGAAAATGGAGTAACTACGACTTTCGGGATAGCATTGACTGACTCTTCATATAATGATACAGTGACGGGTTATCACAAACCAATCCAAACCATAGCAAGATATTGAAATTTACATTTCAAAGAAATGAAAATTTCGGGGGCGGCCTACACATAACTCCGTTATCAGAGAACTGAGTTGTGTGTTGATTGCGTGATTCCATATTTAGCTGGAAGCTACTGGGCAATCAGAAGACAGACAGTGACTACAATGTATAATAATAATCATTTAAAAAGTCCAGTTTCACATGCAATATTCTCAATGTCTGCACAATTGGACCGGTGTGAGAATATTTTGGTCTCTTGTCAGAGTTGAGCCGTGCCTTTATATTTTGGGGGAGTCTCGTCACGAAATCACGAAAAACAAAATTTCATTTTCACGATTTTTAGAAACACAGAAGCGTAACAAAGTCTGAAACCATTTAACACATACTGACTTTAACATTAGAGCCGTTTAAAGGACAATGGAAATCATTGCGAGGCATTACAAGCATCGTACGATGGTTTACGAAGAGGTACGAAGGTATACGATAACGACGTTTACCGATGAAACGAAGAAACTTCAAGAAAGGCAACCGCGGGAAGCAAATTTATAAATTTTCCCCCATAATATTACATTTCGGCCGAGTTTTAAACGTAAACATTCACAAGTTAGGGTAAAATATTCGTAAATTCAAGACCATAGCTACCCTTTTAGCTCTTCACGATTCACGGCACGCATATTAATCACGATTCACGGAATGGTATTTCTTTAAATCACGAAGCACGAATAATTGCTAATCACGAGTCACGAAAATACCCTTGCCCCCCTCACTTATAGCAGAGTGAACTTCTTTAGGTATTCTGTGGGCTCCCTATCAAGAACTTCTGGGCACACGAACATGTTGCCATCGAGGACATGAAACACGTATATCAACCCATGAGAGTTCGTCACCAACAAACAGTAACTTTCCAGTTTTCTTGTAGTTCTCTTTCAAGAGCGTTTCGAAGAAGTCCAACCACTTTGGAAGACGTTTGTTCTTATAGTACTCAATAAAAGGCTGTGTTTCCTCTTTCTGTTCGATCCAGATATCCGGCATTTGCATTGATAGCATGCCACGCTCGTAAACGTAGATTAGGTACTCAAATTTTCTGTGAAAAATGTGAAAATGGAAAGGTAAGTAACCCTCCAGATATCTGTGTTGATGTCCTAGCAGAGGTAACCCCCCCCCCCCCGTTTTTGCCATAAGAGTAGGTGGGGAGGCGAGAGGGAGGGACAATTAGCCTTTCTCACGCAGCCATTTTTGGGGTATTGCCTTTTCCAAATCTGAGATTGTACGCAGTGAATAAGGGATTTGTATAACTATAATTGTGAGTATAATTATAAGTTAAAGGTGATCTACAGTCCGTATGTAAACAAAGCCTTTGTTTACATTTTTGTGTCCAAAATATTGAGCTTTATTCGACAACTATTTATATTTTCAAGCTTCTAGAGTATAATAAATGATCAAGAAACAACAATTAGGCTTTTCAAGAACTCAAAGCGTAGTTAAACTGTTTGTATCATAAAAAGTGGGCTCATTTGTGCACATGCGCAGATCGGACTGTAGATCACCTTTAATTTACAGTTAATTAAATATTTGAAAAAATGGTTTCACATCGCTTAGAATTTTCACGTCGTTTTCAAAAAAGTGAGCAAAAAGTACCCCAAAAATGGCGAATTTGGCCTTCGTGAGAAAGGCTAATTGAATAAAAACGTTCTATATTTACAGTAAAGTCTGTATAGACCGTTTGCACATGACGTCAGTACGTACAGCCGTTGGTGTTCCAATTCAAATTAGACTCTTGTCTGGTACACCAACATGGCCGCCATGGCTTTTGTTGTGTTGGTCCCTGGGGAATGAGTGCAAACCACAAGCCCCCTGTGAAAAAGCCGGCAACAACAGCGTTCGAGGGGCCACAAAACACACTGCTTTTTGGAGGTCTCCGTAAATAAGTGTTTTGTTATATAGTATATAAGTGTCAAAGTATGAATAATTCACCAGTTATTGGAGTGAATTTAATTTGAAACCAAAACTGGATAAATGGAACGCCGTAAATGTTTAATAAAAAGTTTAAAAAATGAACTTTGGCCAATCGGCGGTTTTGACCAATCGGCAAACAGAAAAATTGAACTTTGAACTTTTACTTAATGTTCCTATAATATCACTTTTACTTTAGCTTTTAAAAAATATTTTCATTGTCTATATACGACGCCCAACACCGTACCCACGACGCACCGTGACAGCATTTTGCAGCGGTATTAATTTTTTGCAATATTAGTATTTGTTGTAGTTTTCTGCGGGGTTAGGGTAAAACGCGGACGGATGACCTATTTTTTTAAAATATGCTATGAATGAGGTCGAGTAGGAATGTAGGACATTTAATATTTTAGGAGATGAGAAATTATTAAGGCCGAGGTCTGTGTTATCTGCAGAGGTCGAAGGTTGAGGCAGATAACAAAATCCGAGGACATAATAATTCCTCCTATCCTGCGTGATTCAATAGTTGTCATTAGTCCCACAATTTTTTGTATTGATACGCTCAGAACATGTTTTTCATGCTGACAGAAACACGCAGACAAAAGCTGACAAACTAGACAAAAATGTGGATTGAAAAAATCTCTCGGAAACTTTCGAGTTTCGAATTCTGTCAGTTTCGACCACTGGAGGACCTGCTTGGCATAAAAAAATGTCCCCAAAAACATGGCGGATCTTACGCCATGTTTTGGCCAATTTGGCGACACACTTTGACTGCTTTTCACTTGACGAGAGCACAACGAGAGATTGGAGCAGGACGTCCTCCAGTTATTATAAAGGCCCATTTCCACTCAAGAAAATTTTCCGCGGAAAGTGAAAATTTTCTAAAGGCCCATTTCCACTCAAGAAACAGGGCTGTAGCAACCGGGGGGGGGGCGGCTGGCTGGGGGGGGGAGGCAGCCCCCCAATAATTTGCTAATAATCATTCTTTTTTCAATATCATGCAGACCTTTATCAATTTTAAGCTTTATTATTAAATTTTAAGCGGCTACATTATCCATGACAAACTGCAAGGAATGAAGATATTACCCATACTTTCCACCAACTTATCCAATATATAGTTAATTTTAAACACATATTCGCCTATTTAGTACTACCAAATTGTAAATTTCGACATACTAAAACGCTGTTTTCTGACCATCAAAATTCTGTCAAATCTTCCCCCAAAGTCCAGGAAATGGCGTTTGAGAGAGTCTAAATTTAAAAATGTCCTCGGGCCTTCGGCCCTTGCTTTCAGTCCCCCAATCAAAAAGAGCTTTCTATGGCCCTGCAGAAAAATTTCCACGGACAGAGAAATATCATTGTTGAAAATTTTCAACTTTTTCACGACTGAAGTTTGTGTCGGCCAATCACATTTTACAAAATTATCTTTCAGCGGAAAATTTTCCTGAGAGGAAATGAGCCTTAAAATGTGGTTGGCCGACACAAATTTTCCGTGGGAAAAAAGATTTTGAAGTTGAAAATTTTCAACTTTTAGCAATAGCTCAGTGGTTTCGACCACTGTTCTAGTGGTTTCGGTTGCCCCACAATACGCAGTTCACCGTCTAAATTTAGCTCTGGAATGACGTAATCCTAAGTCACATGATTGTACGTTGTTCACTGGAATCACAGCACGAAACGTGGGAAAGCCCCATTCATGTTCGGGAATCCCGAGTTGACGAATATACTTTCAGAAATATGGCTACGACACGTTAATAAGACTCTCTGTTTTCACATAATATGTGAAGGATTTTGCTGTAGTTTGTGGCCCATACGAAGTGCTTTTTTGTTGTGCGTGGAAAGAGACATTGAGAAACAATTTAGCAACCTCCAATAGACGCAGGTACGTTGCATTTTATGGCGAAAATATGTGCTCCAAAATGTGCGAAATTCTGTTTACAAAATGTGCCAGAGAATTGTACTGAACGGTTAATTCCCCTGAATATCTATTAGGCATACTTTTAGGCCGTTTAAAGTGCGTTTTTAGTGGTATTTTGACGTACATTTCACTGCAATTTTACAGTGGCATTTCTTGCTTACTTGCACTTTGCATATTTCTGAATATTTAGATAGTAAAACCTAAATTTCCCTGCTATAATTCCCCAGATTGTAGACAAAAAATGGATTATCCATCGAAGATGCACCATACATTTTCATATCACACTATTCGGATGAAACAAACCTAAAAAACTGGCTTGAATAGTACAAGCTTTACTGGTGATGATTCTGAGAACAAATCATGTCTGATATTTTCAGAGCCAGACAACATTCTAGGCTTCAGGAATTGGGTGCCATTTTTGTGGCAAAAAGATTCGGCTATACACAACAAAATAGGCAGCTCAGTGCCGATTTGTAGTTTAATGCCGTATTTGTACACACATTGAGACGGATCACGTCCGCAGATCAACACATTAAAAGGTCTGCCCAAAACTTATATATAAGTGTAGAAATTCTGAACTGAATATGAAAATAAATTACTTAACAGAATAGAACCTAACAAAATTGAGTACAACCTAATGAAACTAACAGACCTGTCTTGATTCCTTGACGAGTAAAATCATCTGGCGTTAGACATAGTAAAATAATACAAATATAGGGTCCAACTCAATGGGTTAGCTAATAATCTATTTGAACACACACTGCGCCATGTTAGGCAGTTTCTATGGCCGTTAAGACAGTTTAAGCTTGGTGCTCATTTGGCCAGCTTTCAAACCTTTGGTTAGTGTGAGGAAGTTGAAAATGAAACCATCTGAAAAAACGGAGTAAATTGATTTTTAAAACATTTTTAAAACAACGCTTGAAACATGGATATGAAGATTCACTTTCTCTTTTGTATCCTATAGTGTGCCCTAGCTACTTCAAATTATTTTACTTTGTCTAATAGGGTTCAGATAAAAACAAAAAAAATGTCTGAAAAAATCAGAAGAGAAAATTTTTTGCAACTTATGTCAAAATATACCACAGTTAGATTAAATTTCACACTACATATGTTCAAGACTTTAGTATTATAAGAACAATTACATTAATAGCATATAGTATTGCCCAGATATGTAAGCAGTAAGCCCTGTTAGGTGTGCTATTTTCTCATATTTTTAACATTTGAAAGTTGGAAGTTTAATTAAGGTGCTATTTTGTTTCAATATTACTAAGTTTCAAACAGGTTTTTTCAGTTTTTGTTTTTTTGCCTGAAACAGCATTGGTGGAATTGGTTTCCAAAAAAATGTTGCTTTTTCTGGTTTATCGAATAACTGCCTCATTGTACTGTTTAATGCCAGACGATTTTACTTGCGAAGGGGAGAGTGTGTTGGTGCTTGATCAACAGAGCCTGAAATAATGGTCAAAATTGGCCATAAAAAATATCTGACCAAACTGAGGTCGAACATTTTTTCGATTCCGTTTTGACTCCCAGACTCCCTTCCCAGTAGCACAGTAGCAGTTTTATATTTTTAAATATTTTATATTTTTTTACAGCTTTTTATATTTTTTAATATTTTTTATATTTTTAAAGACCATGTCAAGTCCATAATGTAAACAAATCCTTTGTTTACATTTTGAACTGCTATATTTATAAAATAAGACATACTAACTGAATATCTAACACTCTTCTGGTTCACTATTGTAAATGAATATAAACCAGAGTACATTTCAAATGGTCTTTATAATTTAAAGTTTTTATATTAAAATTTGTCGCCTAAGTTAGGCTTTATTTTCAACAGTAGTTTTTGGCCTTATTCAAACACACAACACAGTAGCAGTAAATAATACTTTAAGCTATGTTTACACACTGTGATTTATTGGAGCCAGGCTGATTTCAGAAAGCAATTATATATAAGAGGATGATCTTTTGTATGTTACGTAACACACGCTCAAAACTAACCAATATACTTTTTCACTTGGTT